TTGACTCAATACTAAAAAAAATTAATATTTAAAAATTTAAGATATTTACTAAATAATAAAAAATTATATAAATAAATATTATTTACCAATTTTTTTATAAATATTTTTTGAAAAATCTTATTGCCAAACGGTCAATTGATTCTATTTACATTATGATGTTGCATTTTTGGTGTCACCGACACTGAATTTGCAAATTCTAGTAGGTCTGTATTTATTTATTATTTAATTAAAACACACAAAATAATAAAATAATACAAATCAAAAGGACAAAAAGACACACATCTATGGTTAGTTGGGTTGTCTTTCTCTTTCCTCACTGTCGGCAGATTATTATTTTCTTCTTTCTTTACCCTACACCTAACTTTAATCACTCCTTTTATTTTTTGTAATTTTCTCAAATATCATCACATAAATTATAATATATTATTTTAATTTCTTTATTACGGTTAAAAAGTCTTTGTCTACATTTTTATTTCCTATTTGCTAGCAAATTACCAGCTACACAACGAATTGAAAAAGACGACCGACCCTTTAATATTTACTAATTGATTTTTGCAAATTTAGTGAGAAATTATGTTATTTTACTATATCACTTTTTAAATATATTTTCTTTATTTTATTTTATATATTAGTTTTAAATAAATATAAATTATTATATTTTATCTATTATATTTTTGATAGAGTAGTTAATTAATTTTGAAAATATATTCATTATTTATTATAAAGTTGATTTAAAAAACATTAAATAAGAATAGAACGGTAAAGTTACATCATTTCTTAATGCAAATGTGACATGTAAAATGAGACGGAGGAAGTAATAAATATAATATCTTGAAAAATATATATGGATAATGTCTATAATTAATTATATAGGTAGATTAAAAATTATTACCCTTATTTTTGATATTTATCTATTTTTTAATTGACACACATATTAAAAAAATAATTATTGATACAGTGAGTTTACCATTTTACCCCTATTAATTATGAAATGGACCAAATAAAAACTTAAATTTTTTTTAAAAAATCTATTTTTTTCAAATTAATTAATTGATAAGAAAAATTATTCTTTCTTGACTTGTCAAAATAAACAAATAATTAAGAATAATTAAAAGAGGAAAAATAGATAAATAATTATAAACTGAAAAAGTACTAATTAATTTTATAAAGAGAACAAAATTTAAATAATTTATCTACTATTTTAAGAATATTTTTTTATTTACTACTTTTAATATTAATTGATTAGGCATATTAAATTTTAATATGACAGGAGAAAGAAAATATGAATACTTGGCTGGGAAGACAAACAGAGATTCTAATGGAAAAGTGCTAAATTTACCAATTCAAGAAGATTGTTGGTTAACATTTTTTTCTTTTTTTTTAAAAATAAAAATATAAGTTTTTTCTCTCTTTTGAAACGTTAATTAATTTTTATTACAGTAGTTAGTGGGTGGTTATAGTCTTAAGAAACATTATTAAAGTCCACTTTAGCTTCAATAGACTAAGTTGCCATGTGAGCTCACTTCCAGCTGCCACTCACCGCCAAGATTTTTCTCCTCCTCTTTTACTCTCATTTTAGCAGATCTTGAACAGACATTGCCTACAGAGAAAATCTGCTGCAGCTAAAGAAGGGTCTATGGAGTTCTTCAGATCTACCATATTATTAGTCTTCTTGTTGTCATGCTTCAGCTTTTCAGCAACAGGTTTGATAATGACTTTACCCCTTTTTTTCGGCTATCAAGATTTCATCTTTTTGTGAAATTGGGATGTGGGGTTCAGTTAGTTTTTGATTTGCTTGTTTGATTTTGAAGTATTTGGTAATGCTGATGGCTTTTTGTTAGGATTTTTGTTGTGATTTTAAGTATAAAGATTTGATTTTTATGTGTTGGATTATGTCATATTTCTGTTGTTGGATTTTGATGAAGTGAAATCATGCTGGACCTAAAGATTGATCTGTTTCTAGCATGTAGAGGAGCTAGTCAAATGAGTTCTTGATTTGGGAATTTGCTGGGAATTTAAACTTGATTTGAGATTTTGTGATGATTTTTAATGCTATTATTGATTGATCCCCTGCCCCCTAAAGATACATTTGTGGATAGTGATGAATCTTCACTGAAAAGGATTTCAGATCAATCCTGTTTTCTTTTCACCTGAGGTTTCGCGTCAGCCTGTGATTCGCGAATATACAGGAAGTTAAATGATTTCTTTTCAAGTCAATGTGCTTTGATTATTGAATTATCTTACACAATGGTGTCATGACATGAATAATAAGAATTCAATGCTTATGCAATCTCCTTAAGACGAGATCCAAGAAGATCGTTAAAGATTGGCTCCATACCTGTATAAATATGTCAATTCTGATGGCTGGTTGAATATGAGCTTAGGGTAAACATTTAGAACTTAACCCAATCAAACAATATTTTAACTGCTTACAGAGTCCAGGGGAAGATCTGTTTGTCTGTGCATGTCCGCGCGCCTTTTTAAAGTTTTCACCTTTTCAATTCTGGTTTTCTTCCAGATGCTTTCGACGCACTTGACCCCAATGGGAACATCACAATCAAATGGGATGTCATCAGCTGGACACCTGATGGATATGTTGTAAGTAGTAGTTTCTCTTTTCTCCTTTCCCCGTCCCACTTTTTCTGTCAAAGCTAATGTGGACTAAAACCAGTTTGCATCTATTGCACTGCAGTTTGTAGGTTTGTTTGATAATTGCCTCTTCATTCATTAGTTGTTTGCAGTTTTATTTCGTGTCAAATTAGCTAATACAAAAAAAGTTTATGTATTTAGCAACTGTTTTCTACTTTTTAGATGGAGCTTACTCATTATCAAAATTGTCAGCCTACCGGACATAGAACTTTAGTGTCTTTTTAGTCTGTACTTTACTCTACTTCTCCTATTCCTTATTAGTACTTACCAAATTGTAAGTTTCTGATCATTTTCATTGCCAATGGACAGGCTGTTGTGACTATGTTTAACTTCCAACAATACAGACATATTCAAGCACCAGGTTGGACGTTGGGATGGACATGGGCGAAGAAGGAGGTGATATGGGGCATGATGGGAGCTCAAACAACAGAGCAAGGAGATTGTTCAAAATTTAAAGGAAACATTCCCCATTGCTGCAAGAGGGATCCAACCGTCGTCGATTTACTGCCCGGAACTCCTTACAATCAGCAGATTGCAAATTGCTGTAAGGGAGGAGTGATCAACTCATGGGGACAAGATCCTGAAACTGCCGTTAGCTCATTCCAAGTCAGTGTTGGTGCAGCTGGGACAACAAATAAAACAGTTAGAGTTCCTAAGAATTTCACCCTTAAGGCACCAGGGCCTGGTTATACTTGTGGACCCGCTAAAGTTGTTAAACCCACCAAGTTCTCTAGTGGTGATGGGAGACGAATAACACAAGCCATGAGTAAGTTACATGGTTCAAATACATGCATTCTTCATTACGGTCAATGACTCTCCAGTTGCTAAGATTTCTCTTTGTTCAAGAAACAAATGAGAATTCTAGAATGCCTTTCTCTTTAAGGCTATTAATTTTCCTTGCAAAGCATTAGCATTATTTTCCAAAACACCTTAACTATACGATCTTTGTCATTAACATTTTTATGATTACCGCGAGCAGTTTCTAACTTTTTATGTTGTTGATGACAGTGACTTGGAATGTCACATGCACATACTCACAGTTCCTAGCTCAAAAGACTCCTACATGCTGTGTCTCCCTTTCATCCTTCTACAATGACACCATTGTACCGTGTCCAACATGCACTTGTGGCTGCCAGAAGAATGGTACCCAGCATGGAAATTGTGTAGAGTAAGTCGTGCAAAACATGTCTTTTTTTTCTCTCTTTCAATTCTTTGTCACAGTTTCTATTTTTGAAAGCTTTGGTTATTTACTTCCTGATCCTTGTTTCTTTGCTCCTCGCAGTCAAGACGAACCACACTTAGCTTCAGTTGTTTCAGGCCTTGGAAAAAACAATTATGCTCCTTTGGTTCAGTGCACTAGTCATATGTGCCCTATTAGAATTCACTGGCATGTGAAACTCAACTACAAGGAGTATTGGAGGGTGAAGGTCACTATAACTAACTTCAATTACAATATGAATTATACGCAATGGAACTTAGTTGTCCAGCATCCCAATTTCGACAACCTCACTCAGTTATTCAGCTTTCATTACAAGTCATTAACTCCTTATGGAGCAATAAGTAAGTTATCTATTTATTGTTACAATTAAATCTCTAATGAGCAGTTTCTGCCATTTCATTTGTGGTCGAGTGAGCTAGTTGCTACTACTTCACTGTTAAATACATTCGAGCAGTATCTTTTCTATTCTACACTTCTAAAGAATTTTATTTCATACTATCGGTTGAAAATACTATGATTTCTCAATCAATTGAGAGATTGAAAGATAGAGCTAATCTCGTGGGATTTTTACAGATGACACTGCTATGCTCTGGGGTATGAAATTCTACAACGATCTGCTCATGCAAGCTGGTCCATTAGGAAATGTCCAGTCTGAGCTTCTATTCCGCAAGGATATGTCGACTTTCACTTTTGAGAAGGGGTGGGCTTTCCCACACAGAGTTTATTTCAACGGTGATAACTGTGTCATGCCTCAACCTGATTCATATCCGTATATGCCAAATGCTGGTACTGTATGGAAGGTTTCTTCGCTAAAGCTAGTGGTGACGTTGATCCTCTCTATGGCATTCTTCTTTGCAACTGTCTAGAAACCGGATAAACACCTTGTTACTGTCTCAGTAAGTTATCTTTGGGTTGATTCGCTTGCACAGCCGAGGAAACTGATTGGAGAGTTAGATATCTGAGCAGAGTGATGCTGACCATTATTATGGATATTCGGGTATGCTTGTTCTTGAAGGGCTGGTGAAAATGGTGCCATAATTTTCATTCAGCAGTTTGTATCAAATGTTTTTTTCTACTGTGGTAAGGTTATTTTTGTTATGTAGAATTTCTTTAGTTCACAGTTATATCAGGGTTGTATGAGAATAAAGACTATTCATAAACAGATAGAGTTAATTATATGATATTCTTTAGTTCTCTTATTTCTATTCAGTATATCACTATGTAACCACTTCTATTTTGTAAAAAAAGATTATTTGCTACACGGTTTTCATATGTTCATTCTCTGTGTAAATTTTTCTCCCATTATTATCAGCTGTCATAATGTGTTTTTATGACATATTAATAGTACAATTAAGAGTTTGTTAATGTTAAGCCAAATCAGGGTAATTAAGGCTGAACTGGATATAGAGAAGATCCAATATTATTGAATGAATTATTTTTATATGTAGTTGCTCTAATGGTAAGCAACCTTACTTTTAACCCTAAATTATGAGTTTGAGTCATCAAGAGAGCAAAATAAGTTCTCGGGGAGCATATTCACTTTCAATTCTAAGTTGTGAGTTAAAAGGCATCAAACCTAAGGGACCATATTTGGAACTTTTCGTCAAACTTAAGGGACTATGTTTGTAATTTTGTTCAAACAGAATCAGAAAAGGCCACAAGTTGCAAGTTCAGCTACCTACTCAATCCCGGCCCATATGATTTTTTAAAGCCCCTTGTGGCTGTGCAAAACCCTAACGCTAAACCACTCATGACCTATAATAAATACACTGCTTTCTTATACTTTTTCTTCATCTCTATACCTGCTGAGAATTGAGTTCATACTGGTAGTGTCTTGTGCTTTTCTATGTTTTGATTTTGTCTAGTTATGGTGGTTTTGTGAGTTCCTCAGTGATGAACAAACACAGATGACGAGTCTGATATCCATTCTTTTAAAAAGTGTGAAGACAAAACGAGGCATTTGTCTGAGAGGAACTCCAATCTAAATCACCTCTTCTTTTTATTTTCTTTTTCCTTCCAAAGTTAGGTTGGCTAGGACAAATATTCTAACTTGTTAATAGTCTAATTTGTTAAGTTTTTAACATGGAACTTTTTGAAGGTAGTTTTTAATTCATCAAATTGAGGTGAATTGGTTGATGAGACTCTACATCTGATTTTTTACCCAATAAAACATTGAAATGAGCAAATGCAGAGTAATAATTGAAAATAAGTGTAGATTGGAGGTACCTGTTTGTTGGATGAACTGAGCTGAGCCTAGTCAGGTTGTTTACTAATTCCTTTATATGCACAGCAATACACAAAATAATGAGTATTTTCAACAAACAATATAATTCATAAACAAACAAGAATATTATATTAAGAAAAATCTTTGAATCTGAAACTTTACCTGCCTGCAATCAAACTAGGCATTTTTCTTAGTGAGTTGGCATATGCATGATCTTGGTTCAAAACTTTAAGGACATGTGGAATTAATAAGATGATACAAAGAAAAAAAAAGAATGTCATTAGTGTTTCTTACCAATTGATTGATGATATATAGTTACAACAGGAGGAATATTATGTATATATCTTTGTTTCTTGTTTTGGCTCTCTTTTATATTACTCTACTTGGCCTTTTTTTTAATCTTGAAGCAAGAATTCCTTGGTGAATTTGAGTATAACATCTCAACAACCATTTCACCCTCTCTCTTTTGAAAGAAAATTACAGAGCAATTTGTTAACATTTCAACAACCATATTGTTGTACAAACAAAATACGAGAACTCAGATAATTAAAACAGTGACAATACTGCTCTTAATAAATTTCTCAATTCTCATTGTATGTTCGGTTAATATAACTCTATATTAATAGGAAACTTTCACGTAAAATCACTCAAAAATAATTTAATTACGTTTCATAACTATAGTCTATTAATTATGATTCATAGCTACATGTTATAATGAGGGGAGTGATAAGCGAGATTAGGGGGATGCAACTGCCATCGCTAAATATGCATGGAATGTAGCAAACAAAGTAGAGTCCGAAACTCAAAGGGTAAAAAATATTAACAAAAATTCCAAAACGGTATATAAAATTTTATATAAATCAAAACGGTAAAATCGCTGCCGACGCAGTGATTTACTTCAACTGAAAAAGTAAAATCGCTGCCTCGGCAGCGATTTTGCCAAAATTTTTTTTTAATAAAAAAATGAAATCGCTACCTGGGCAGCGATTTCAAAATGTTTCTTCTTACAAATCGCTGCCTGGGCAGCGATTTCAAAATGTTTCTTCTTACAAATCGCTGCCTG